ATGTGGAAAATAATGTGTTTTTTGAACCTTAAACCGCATAAACACATTTCATTACACCAAATACACAAAATAATGTTCTTTTTAGCAACATCATATGACCCCTTTAAATATAGGCTTTGTTTTTTTATATCTTATATAATCACATTTAGTAACGCATTATACATTTATGAATAAATTTCACTCGATAGCAGTGGATCTAAACCTCTTTAACTTTTACAAATTTTTAAAACTGATTTAACTTTTGACATCAAGTATTAAAGTACTAAAATAAATAAAAATAAAAGTACTAAATGTCTTTCAAATAAATAATGATAATGAAATTAAACTGCCTAAGTTGTGCTAATAATTATTTAAATGAGATGAATATGACCCAAAGTAAAATAAGTAAATAAAATAATAATTTATGGCATAAAACAATATAAAAGGCTCAAACCATATTTATTTTTGTTTTCACTGAAACCCTATTTAATGTAGTACGAGTCATTTCTTATATTTTGTGTAGTTATATTTACAGGTTTAAAGGGTTAGTTCACCCAAAAATGAAAATTCTGTCATTAATTACTAACCCTCATGTTGTTCCAAACCCGTAAGACCTTCATTCATCTTCGGAACACAAATTAAGATATTTTTGATGAAATCCAAGAGCTTTCTGACCCTGCATAGATAGCAACGCAACTGACACGTTCAAGGCCCAGAAAGGTAGTAAAGAGTGACATCATTAAATTAGTCCATGTGACATCAGTGGTTCAACCTTATTGTTATGAAGCTACGAGAATACATTTTGTGTGCAAAGAAAACAAAAAAACCCACGACTTTATTCAATGATTTCTTCTCTTCCTTGTCAGTCCTTGACGCGCGTTCAGGAGAGTACACGATGGACTATTTTAACGATGTCCTTACTGTGTTTCTGGGCCTTGAACATGTCAGTTGCATTGCTGTCTATGCAGGGTCACAAAGCTCTCAGATTTCATCAAAAATATCTTTATTTGTGTTCCGAAGAGGAACAAAGGTCTTATGGGTTTGGAACGACATGAGGGTGAGTAATTAATGACAGAATTTCCATTTTTGGGTGAACTATCCCTTTAACTATGCTTGACTATACAGTCAGTTAAATATAATATTATTTATATTTAGCAATGTTTTTTCACTGCTTTCTGAGACTCAGTCAGAAAAGACTTGTGATCCACCTGTTGAGAATTCCACATGAATTACTATTAATGTCACTGGATTACAGGAACAACGCATTTCATCCCAGATTATCACCTTTGGAGGGACATCATCTTCCTGTCTCAGCCAAGAACTACGGTCAAACTTCTCATCTCGGCTGGTAATGCGAGGTGGTGGGGCGGGGGTTTCTGACGTAGGGTCAGAGTTCTGCCGAGGCATCGGTGGTCGGTGAGGCGACAGACCCTCTTGGAAGGCTGAGACGCCCTGAGAGGACTGATCATGCAGCGACTGGGATCCTGTCATGGAAGAGCCATGGGACTTCACAGAGACCAGGTGCGCCATCTGAAAGGAGTACTCTGGGGTCAGTGTTCTTCACAACACATCTGTCTCTCTAAAGACAGGTCAGGAAGTACCTGAGGCTCTACCGGGTGGTGCATGGGAGGTGTCCGGGCCTGCTGTATGCCTCCACTGCTGAAGGACTCTGAGCGGGGAGGAAGGGAGGGGTCGGAAATACGGTTGGCCACTTTGTGCTGGAGAGCCGGAGAGCTCTGGCGGTTCAGCTTGGAGCGTTCCTCAACCTGACAGACAGAGAGGAAGTTAGTGTCCATGCTGCTCTTCACAACCAGTCTGTTTCCTCTTTGCTTGAGAGTCAGAATGGACTGCGAAATGTGTAAAGTGGCTGATATGAGTCACTGTAGGATCTACACAATGGTTGCACAACATACTAATTTACCAAGGTAACTTCTGCTAATTTTAAATATTTAAATTTGAATTGTATATATTTAAAATAGAAACCAATTAGTTTACCTTTTAATAAGAACAGCTAATATGATGATGAGACCTGTAGGCTTCTCTGTCAATCTTATTCATCTTTAGCATTCACATAATCACCCAAGATTGAGTTTCTAAATCTTTGCCGAAACCCGCCCGTCTCAAATTAAGGAGACGGCCTCATTACGAGACATTTTAGATATTTTTAGACCTGTTCCCTTAACTTGACGGGAGATAATCTTTTATTCACTTCTGCAGACCCAATCAAAATGACTCAATAAGCGAAGACGAAACATAGAACCAAACGACAGAAAAAGAAATATCATCAGGTTAAAGACAGAAAGGAAACATTTAGTCCATTATGTCCAATACGTTAAAGGAGATGCTGTGAAATCTCAAATTCAAACAACAAGCCTCAACTGTCATGCACCATTCACAAGCATTTTTAGACAAGAAAACAATCACTTATGGCCATCCTAGAAGTCGGGTGACCAATGGGACAGTAAGACATGTTAGTGAGAAAACCATGTTTATTTCTTCTCTGAGAATGGAGGGAGGTTTGGATCTGAAATGACACACTGTCTTCAGAGCACAATCTGTGCCTACAAATAACAACACAACCCCTTACCAACACCCCTTTGTAATTTTATCAATGTCTAAAGCATTGGTTCTCAAACAGGGTGCCGGGACCCACTAGGAGGTCTCAGGAAACTTCCAAGTGGTCTGCAAGATGAGTTGAAAATATAAAAAATGAAAAAAGAAAAGGTTTTAAATTACTTAAAATTGCTAACAATCAATATGTAAGCATATTTCTTATTTTAATTTGTTCAATTAACAACTGCCATTTTTAAGAATGAGATCTCATGATCTTATGCATGTATGACTATAAGCAACTTGTATAAGCAACTTAAAATGTTTATTATGAATATTTAAAAGTATGATTACTAGACCAGAAAAAGTCATGCAAATTAATGAAATCTTAAGTCATTCAAATTTTTATTCTGAAAATATATGTATTGTCAAGCTCTAAAATATTTTATCACGCAGAAACTGCCTTTGTGAGTAAACCAATAATTTAAAAAAGTATCTACCAAGAAAAGTCATATAGATTCATTGGTAATAAAAGATATAAACCATGAACCTTCAGATATTGGGATTATGGAATTTAACTATTTATAATTATGTAAATTATTTTCATATTTTGCCACTCCTAGTTTCTGTAAATAAAAAGTTTAAAATGAGCAGATTTGTCATTATGGTAGAAGTATCAGAAATATCTTGGTGGGCCTTGGAGTCAAATAGGTTGAGAACCACCAGTCTAAAGCTCATTTGTGGCCCAACATATCCAGACCTCTCTCATTTTTGCCCCGCAATCCCATGCTCCTCTGTCACCAGCTTTCTGTAAGGAGGAGTGATAGGGAAGTTCAAAGAGAAGATTATGGAACATTAGAGCAAGACAACAGCAAGAACGGAAGCGGTCAGAAGAAAATCCACCAAACTAACTGGGAGACAGAACCTACAGAAATACCTGCACCCAGAGACCGAGAGGAAAACAGAAACAAGGCATTCCAAAAGAGATCATCCAAATGCCCCGATAGAAAATTCGGGAAAAAATTTGTTTTTTTCCACATTAATTCTTTGCATATGTACCATGACCAGGCGAAAAAGGAGACACGAATAATCATGCTAGCGGAGGCAGACCTTTGAGACGTCTAAGTCTCTCTCAATATCAGTCCCTTTGCTGGAGTGTCCGGGATTGCGGCCCCGGGACTCTTGCTCAAGATGTTGCTGGACCATCCTGACCAGCTGGGATGGATCTGGCTCGCAAGACACACGGATTCTAGGAACGTTTGGCCCACTGACTATCCTGAGCTGAGGCTTGGCCAGCTCTATCTCTCTCGAGTGGAAGGCTGCTGGGTAGGAGGGGGGCCTCGTGGGCTCATTAGCGGAGCTCTTGTCAAGAGGGAGGAGTTGGCCGACACGTTTTTCTCCAGGACTGTTAAACGAATGGTGCTTCTTGGGAGGGATTCGAGGGGAGTTACTCTGAGCTCTCTCCATCACCTGTGTTCAGATAAGCACAATAAAACTGTTCAGATTGTGACCCACAAAACGGGACGGTGAGGCCGATTCAGAGCGTGATAATCAAAAAGCATCCAATGGAATCTGAAAACTAATGGAAAGGTTATTGACAGGAAGTGAGATGCATCATATGTGGGCACCAAACCTGAAGAATTTGATCAAATTAAGCCATTAGCAAGAGCAAATTAGACAACTGACATATAATGTCTACAATCAGTGACTGGAGATTCTTGACAATGAGCACTAGGGCTGGGTATCAATACAGATTCCTGATTCAATTCGATTCGGATTCATAAGCTCTTGATTCAATGCTGATTCATTTGGATTTATTTCAGGTATGTTTATTTTGATTACATATAAAAGACATTATCTCTTTGCTAATGCTGTAAATTATACAGGGCAATGCTTCAGATTCAAACTGGTACAGTAGCTCACCTTTTTGAACCAAAAGAACCAATTTAACAAATAATTTGTCTCATGAATCAGGCTATACTAATATGGTGTATATTTTTGATTCACTAAAAAGAACCATCACTTGTTTAGTGAATCAAGGCTATACTAATGGGGTGTAGCTTTTGTTTCACTAAAAATAACCAACACGTAAGAATCATTTGTTTTGTGAATCAGGTTTTCTAATGTGCTGTAAGTTTTTGAGTCACTAAAAAGAACCAAATCATAAGAGATGCTTATGTATGTTTCTGATTAATTAAAAACAACCAACTCCTAAAAGTCTTTTATTTCATGAATCGGACTATGCGAGTTGTGTTGTAGGCTTTTTGCGTGCAGCCCTCAAGGAAAGGCACGTCATGCCATTATTTCAATGGTACACTGCCCTTTAATTAAACTCACATTCAGGATTTTGTGAATTGATACTGGGACCATTTAAAGGAAGATTGTGATTAATCAGAAAATCAATATTTTCACCCAACCCTAGACAGTATAAATCACGTAAGAGTCTTAAGAAGATCTCTTTGTACCTCTTTGGCCCAGGCCGGTTTGTCACTGGGGTTGACGGAGTCTTTGTAGTGGTACAGTTGTTTTTTGTCTGCAGGCCGTGGCTCTTGTTGCTGTTGCTGCAGTGAAACAAGGTAGGCCCTTTCCTGCTGCAGCTGCCGCTGTAACCGCTCAGCCTGTCTCTGCTCCTCCAGCTGCTTCCGTTTGTATTCCTAGACACACCACAGAACCAGAATGTAGTGAAAAGAGCAAGATTTGAGGCACATACAGAGCAGATAACCACATGAGACCAAATAATGCTAACAGGTTTGGACTCCTAAAAATAACTGGAGGCTATCAGAAGTTCAGAAGAACTTCAAAATCAACAGCTCTATAAACTAACCAAATCGATGGTCTGATGGCCGTGGATCCTGAGTCTAATTTCCCTCAGAACTGAGCAATAACAAACAGAGCCGCCACAAATCCCAAATGCCCGAGATCAATTCACACAATCGATACTCTCTGTGAGTGCACTGATTGCAGAGGGGACCGACAGATGGCATAAGTGCAGTAGATGAAAAGAAAGGAAGTGCAAGAACTTTAAAGGTGAAAGTTGAAATGAGAGTTTACCAGGAGAAGAGCTTGTTCTTGGAGAAGCTGCTGTTGAAGAATCTCCAGCTGCCTTTGTTCTTCTTCTAACTGCCGGCGGATATACTCCTAACCCCATAGCACAGCGCATCAGAGTGACAGTGAGAAAAAGAGAAGGAAAAGAGATAACAGGGCCTTCAAAGAGTTTCAAAATGAAAGAATGAAAGATTAATCAAGCAAATCTAAAGATAAGAAACCCTGACAATAACTTGCTGCCCTGCCTAGATCCCATGTGGCCTTCTGTGTGATGAGCTCACTACCCAAAGGTCACTGGTTCAAACTGTGGAATTAGCCATCCATGCACAAGGGAGTCACTTAGGACCCAGATCCTAATTTCCTGAAGCAGGGCAATTAACCTCAGACTACTCAAGGGGAATGTCGCCCCAAAGAAAAAGTATTAGAAGTTGGTTTGGATCAAAACCATTTTGTCAAAATGACAAAAAGTGTGATAGGTGCAGTACAGAGTCCAATTCAATCCTAAAGTTTACTTTCATTGCCTTCTAGACAATGGCAGCATAATGAGATGCCATGGGATATCAATGGGAATCACCTCCAATAATGCCTTTTGCAGTAAGTTATCATTTTTATTTTTAAATGATATTTAAAGTAGATACAGTTGAGGTCAATTAATGCATGGTTTTTCCTTCTGGAGCATCAGTGAAGGTTTGAACCTACTGTAATAGTTGCATATGCATCCCTCAGTTGTCCTTAGTGTGAAAAGATGGATCTCAAAATCATACAGTCATTGTTGGAAAGGGTTCAAATACACAAAAATGCTGGAAAACCAAAGAATTTGTGGGACCTGAAGGGTTTTTCTGAAGAACAGCAGGCAGTTTAACTGTTCAGGACAAACAAGGGACTCATGAACAACTATCACTAAACAAAAAACGCAGCTGTGGATCATTCAGGTAAGAACACAGTATTAAGAATCACTTTTGAACGGGGTAATATTTATAACTTCAACTATTATTTTCTCTTGTGGACTATATGTAAACATCTTTCATGTGAAATATCTTATTCAGGTCATTACTAAATAAACAATAACATGCATTTTGTATGATCCCTCTTATTTTGGTAAAATAATTAACATTTTACAGATTCTGAAAGGGGGATGTAAACTTTTGACCTCAACTGTAGATCTGTAGAGTGGTAACATGCATGTATACTACCATTCAAAATGTATTCACAAGGATACATTAAGGTGATCAAAAATAACTTAAATAATTACATATTTATATTTCCAATAAATAAATTCATCAAAGAATGAACTTCCACAAAAATATTAAGCAGCACAACTATTTTCATTGCTGATGATAATAATAAATGTTTCTTGAGCAACAACTCAGCATATTAGAATGATTTCTGAAATATCATGTGAAACTAAAGTCAGGAGTGATGATGCTGAAAATTCTGCTTTGCCCTCACATAAATAAAATATATTAGAAAGTGCATTCAAATAGAAAACAGTTATTATGAATTGCAGTAATATATCGAATTACCACTGCTTTTATAGTATTTTTTATCAAGTAAATGCAGCCTTGGGGACTCGGGAGCGTTGGGGACTTCTTAGAAAAACTTGTGCAATTATAGAGAAAAACAGGTTTATGGCAGTGTACAGAAAACAAAAGCAGAAAGACTTTACAAAAAGGTATCTGAAGAGAAAAGGTAGCCCCATTAGCAAGATGCATTACATTTTGAAAGGCTGTGTCTCATTCTTTATGAAAGGATTAAACAAGATTCGTCTTCAAACTGAAAACAAGGCAAGGGAAATATCTGGATTATATGTCTCGCTGTGGAGCCTGGAGGACACTTTCATTATCAACAAAACAATGAAATGCTTTATAACAGCAAAGAAAATGCAGTGCTTTTTGGCATTAAAGGCGCTGAAAGCATTTTTATGGAATGACACTTAGGCAATATCTATCATATAAGCAAAATGATTAACAGACAAAAGGCAGCACAAAAGTCTTGCAAATTTATGGGGCAGTCCATCTGGTGGTTAGCAAGCTAACAGTGAGATCAGCTTTATTTGCAGCTGTTGCTGCTCCTGCTACTCTCGGATTACAACCGTTTCAACAGTAACTTTAAAGGGGTGGGGTTTGTGAAAAGGGGTGTGTCTAATTCAAATTCAATTTCAGAATAGCTAAACGGCTAACATCACTTAACTTTTGGCATGAGTGAGAACTCATTCTTATTTGTCTCTGAACAGACTCTCACACGCGGCCCGTGAGACGTCCTCATTCACTACTGAGCAAGGCTCGTGCGGCCCAACCGCATTTGAAAGGGTGGGTGCTTTAAATATGCATACCATCCAGCAGAACATTTCCCTCTCTGGAGGAAGTGAGTCACAGACTGAAGAGAATGCTTTAAATAAGGGATTGTGGCATGTGAGAGTCTGATATGCATATCTGAGAGGACAGTTACAGTTGAGAACAAAGTGCATGGCGCATTATACATGATTAACAGAGGGTTTACAACTGAGCGCCTGCATACACGCTCTCTTCATACACATCTGCTTTAGAAAGTGTTCATATGTCCTGGCATATTCCTAGCGATAATGTTTGCATTTATGTTTACATGGAGAGACTGATGTTCACCAACATTCACCCTTTTGTAATTGAAATAATCTGTTTCTCATGGCAAATTACTGTTCATCAACAAAGATAGTGATACAATTATTATTTGTATTAAAATATTCACAAATATTGTGTTTTTATTGATTGCATATCAATAATGATTATTTGGTTATCATTGCTATCAATCAAAAAGCTGAAAAAAATGGTTCTGAACATTTGAATTATTTTGCACATTTGCAAAAAAACGCTGCATGTTGTTCATAATATTAATTAATAATTTAATTAATTAATTAATTTCATCGTATTTACAGACTTTTTTGATAAACAACTTTGGTTCTGTGTTGTGTCATAACTAGATATTTGATGTAAAATCTGGGTTCCAAATATTCTATATATATTCTCTCTCTCTCGCTCTCTCTCTCTCTCTCTCTCTCTCTCTCTCTCTCTCTCTCTCTCTCTCTCTCTCTCTCTCTCTCTCTCTATATATATATATATATATATATACACACACACACACACACACACACACACATATATATATATATCATAAAGTAACAAAGTATTACATAAAATAAAAAATACTATAAAATAAAATAAAAAATAAAATATAATAAATCAGTTATTGAACACTAGAATACTGAAATAATTGGTATGACGACAAAAAAACAAAACAAAAAAAAAAAACAGTGACCAATCTCTAAATATATGTGCCATGTATTAACAGAAAGCACATCTTGTCTCCATCTCTGTAGTGGTGAATCAGTGGGAGTCTGTTAGTGTGGAGTGTGTGAAGCCGCCACGTCACTTCATTTCTTCCCTTCCTGTTCATATGAGTTCAGTTGTCATTTCTGGCACTCTTTTAGCACAGTGAATAATGGGTTACTTTGTAGTGACAGATCAATATATAATAGCTCGAACAAGTATGTACTGAAATAACTCTCTCCATCACTTCTTGCCCTCTTTCTACTTTATCAATAAAAGTGACCAAAAACCACAATTAGCCATGTATGATAGTGGATGTGCGTTTGTGTTTACATATGTACCTGCTCCCTCTCAGCATGCCTCCTCTCCTCCTCTCTCCGGAGCTGCTCCATCTCCTCATAGCGCCTCCTCTGCTCTCTCTCCTGCTGTTTCCGGAGATCTCTCTCCCGTCGCTGTTGCTGTGAGGTTACAAACACGTGCTCATTAATGAACCTCCCATTCTTACAAATAAATCTCAGTGCTGAGCCCAACTATCAGCCCAGCTTCACAATGGAACATGCAGTTCCTTCCTTTACCATTTAAAAAAAATATTGCATTTCAGTAGCCATGCTGAATGGCCTTTCCCCAGCAGGGGCTGCTGACAGGAGCTGTGCTGATAGAGTGTGTTGAAATGGCAAATTTCCTGACAGTGGACCAGCGGGAGATAGATGTGCTAAATGAGAGGCTGACGCCTGATTCATCCCCACAGCTATTCTGCTCCCTCTCCTACTGAGAAAACCCTACATCACATAACTCAGGAATATCTCCACTGGTTCAATGACCGTCGTCTTTCTTTGTCTCCCGTTTGAAGAATTCCCAAGATGTTGGGCAACCTTCCTGTGGACTGATCATAGCTCAGTGTCTCCCAGGGACTTTAAAAACGGCAGTCATCTCATGAGCCATTACACACACAAAATAGAGTACAGGAAGTGTGTGTCTGAGTGTGACCGGAATAATAGCAAAGCATATTGTCTGTTTGTTCTGGTAGGGTTGCAAGGAAAGACAATGCTAAATACAAACAATAAAATGCAACTAAGCATATAATCATGCATGAAAGCAGAAGAAAATGCTTTGCATATCTTTTGTTGTTGATGTCAGAGGTTGTGAAAGATTTTGGCTCAAATTCATCTGCTACTTTGTAATATGGTAAATACTTTTTTTTATCCATACATCTAATGTTGTCGTTATTAATTTGTTGGGTCATAACTTGATATTTAATGTAAAATCTAGGTCCTAAAGCAAAATCAGTTGAGAACGAGTTTAAAAAAGCTGTATTAAAATTAAATTAAATTAAATACAATTAAATTAAAAATTAAATTAAATAAAATGTTATTTAAATAATATTATATAAATACAAACTATATTATAATAAATTATGAAAATAAAATTAAATAAAATGTTCTTTAAATAATATTATATAAATACAAAATATATTATAATAAATAATTATGAGCAATATATAAATTAAATACAATATTAAAAATATTACATTCAGATTAAATATTTAGCTTTAAACATCTTGAAATAAAATGTTTTAAATAATACAATACGAAATATAATAATTATTTATAAAAACATATAAATTTAAAAAATATTAGAAATAAAGTAAATTAAATATTAGATTAAATATTTAGCTTAGAAGGTATTAAAATAAAATGAAACGTGCTTTAAATAATATAATATAAATATAAAATACATTAAAATAAAATGTGCTTTAAATCATATAAAAAAATATGAAATATAATAAATGTTAAACAACATATAAATCAATACAAAATTTTATATAATTATATTTAGATTAAAAATGTAGCTTTAAAGATATTAATACACCACCGTAGTGCAGAAGATTTCAGAAACATTGCTGCAAATCCACGGTCTTTAAACTGTTTCTCGTCCGTCTCCTCTTACCTCCTCTAATCTCCTCCTTTGCTCCTTCTGCTCCTCGATGCGCTTCTGCCTCTCTGCCAGTAGTTGGCGCTTGTGTTCCTCGTTCTGTTGCTGTTCCAGCTGTTGTCTCCTCAGGGCTTCGGAGCGCTCCTTATTGGCCAACTGTAGACGCAGGAAGTCCCGCCTCAGGGTCGATTCCCCAGGGATGTTTATGATAGAGCTGTAAGGAAGATGTTAAATCATCTTTAAGTCAATCAGGTCTCCACTATACCCACATGCATGTGTGTGTGAGCGGAAAAAGGTCTATGTACCTCGGCTCTCCTATGTCTCGCTCTTCCTCCTCCTCTTCACTTCCACTGTACTCATATTCTGTCTCGTCTGAAAACACACAGCATTGTAAGATGTAGGTTTTTAGATTAAAGACCGATCCAGATCAGGACTGTTGTGACAAAACAACAAGTGATAAAAATTTGCAAGAAAAATAAGTAATTTTTTTGAAAGTTATTAAATAGTAGTCAACTCTTACAAAAACAATATTCAATGAATAATTTAATTTATTTTGATAAATAAAATAAATTTCAAAAATAAAAATAAAATACATAATAAAATAATAATTCCCTGTTATTTCTATTTTTTCACCAATATTCACCCTTTTCTAATTTAAAAAAATCTCATGGCAAATTCCTATTCATCAACAAATACACTGTTACAATTATTATTTTTATTAAAATATTCATTAATATTGCATTTTCAATAATTACTATTTGGTTATCATTGCTATCAATCAAAACAATAAATAATAAACAAATAAACAATACATAATTTAATTAATAATTAATTTAGACAATGAATAAAATAAAATACATTAAAAAGGTAAAAATAAAATAAAATACATAATAAAATAAAATACATATTAAATTACCTTTTTTAATAGAATAGATTAAAGACAGATTCAGATAAGGAATGTTGTGACAGCAACATGAAAACCATTGATAAAAATACTTTTCATGCTAATTTTTAAGTAAATTTTTTTTAAAGTTATGAAATAGTAGTCAACTCTTACTAAAAATAATATTCAATAAATAATTTTATTAATTTATTAATGTATTTATTTATGTTGAAAATAAATAAAATTAAAAACAATAAAAAATACATAAAATAATAATAAATAAAATAAATGACAAAAAAAGATAAATTAAATTTTTTTTAATAGCATAACCGACCAAAAGTCAAGTTTATTGCGATTAATTGGATGGCAGGCACGCTACAAATAATGTTTGGTGAAGTTTTGTTTACGCATCAACAGAAAACAGCATAAACTAAAAAACTCACCCCTCTCTCCTCTCTTCTTTTTGGTCCGGTCAATGTGGTCTTTGAGCTGGATTCGGACCTGTCTCTCGTTGGGAAGGTCTTTGATGAAGGGATGTTTCATGAGCTGTTCAGTACTGGGTCTCTGGTTGTGATTCTTCAATAAACAGCTCTCAATGAACGACTGGAACTTTTTAGACCTACAGAGAACAACAAACTGATTATTTCCCCTATTTTGAATCAGTTGTAGATTAGTGCAAATTTTAATACAATGAGAGGTTTGATTCACCACTTCTTGGACTTGAGACGAGGCGCTGGGTTTCTGGGTATGAGGAAAAGTGCTCGCATAGGATGCATATCGCACAGCGCTGAGAAAACAGAGAGGTGTTTGTGTTCAGCAATCCCCGTGTTCATATAAAATACATTTCACATCATACTGCATTGTGCTGGACTTACGAGGGGCTCCTTCTGCCATCTCAATAGCCGTAATTCCCAGCGACCACAGATCACTCTGTAACAAAATGGTGCTTTTAGGATCTCTGCCTGAAGCCAAACAAGACCCTCACACAAAAGCAATCAGGTGTTGTAAGAGCGTAATTAAGAATCGCTTGAAGTACCTTGAAGTCATATGTGGCGTCTGGGTTCTCATCACAGGCTATGACCTCTGGAGCCATCCAATATGGAGTGCCAATAAAAGTGTTCCTCCTACCCACAGTACGGTCCAACTGTGCACTCACACCAAAATCAACTGTTGAAAACACACGCAATCACACACACAGGGAAGATTTGGCCTTAATGTGTCTGCGTGCAGTAATGAGAGGAGAGGTCTTTGATGAAGTGCATGCTGCCATCTGCCTCTGTGCCACTCTACCCTCGTCACCGCAGGCAGTGTTGTCATAGCAACCAGCCTGAACTGTCTCCCAAACTCAAACAACTCGATGACAAACCCTAATAACTCCAGAGGAGGGTCACAGGTTCCTCAAGACAGACAGAATCAACCAATATAAACACACACAGACACACTCGAACTAGCTTCTTATAATTAAAATGATTTACTGAAAAAGTGATTATCTACACAAGTTATGAATAAAACATAGCTAGTTCATATAATATTTTTAAAAAGTACAAACAATGAGGATCCTTAAATGAGGTGACATCAAGATTGAATACACTACCATATAATTTTTTTTTTTTTTTTTTAGAAAAATGAAATATTTAATACAGCAAGACACATTAAATTAACTGTTTTCAATAAAAACTGTTTCTTGAGCATCAGATCAGCATATTCATTTGACACTGAACACCATACTAACGGCTGCTAAAAATGTAATTGTATCAAACAGAAATAAACTACATTTTAAAATATATTTAAATAGAAAACAGTTATTTTAAAATGGCAATAATATTTCTGATCAAATAAACAGGTTTGGCAAGCATAAGAGACTTCTTTCAAAAACATATTTCTGAACAGTAGTGTGCTTTTGTATAAATAATTAAAAAAGCAACCTAATTTACATTATTATCTCACTCCAAAAATGTCAAATTAGCTTAATCATGCAGAATCAGAGTCAAGCAGAAGACCATCACCTGTCAAGTAAAGACCATCGACTCTACCGTGCGACTCCACCGGGCAGGGACACCCATACCTTTTGTTCTTTTAATATTTTGAATTGTTTTTAGCTTTATTTTTTTTTTTCATTTAAATGTTTAGTTTTGAAATGTTGTATGCATTTGTCATTTTTATTTAATTTCTTTTATTTTCTTAAATGTGTATATATATAATATTTATAGAGTTTTAGCTTTTAGTTTTAATAACTTTTTCTTATATGCAAGTCGCTTTGGATAAAAGCTTCTGTTAAATGACTAAAAGTAAGTAAAGTAAAAGTAAGCTAATAATTTCATATGTCAATGAGCTTGTGAATAGCCTGTGGCAATTTCAGAACAAATGAATGAGTTTCTGATGAATATGTTTTTGAACAGGTTCTTGGAAATTAAACCTTCCTGCACAAACAGATTTATTTCATTAAAATGAACTATTTGATCTGTTTAGGGGTGGGCAATATACCGGTAAACAAGATTAACCCGTAGAAATTTGTCAACCGGTAGACTCTGGACTATCGTCTTTATCGCGGTCATGCACTCAAGTTGTGGTCACGAAATGTATCTCTGCACACATTTTTAAGCATTGTGGTTTAAAAACAAGTGATTTTAAGCCGTTTAAATGCAAACAACAGCACTACATGTCTGTGTGTGATGTCTGTGTTTTGCGTGCAGGCTGCACACATGAATCCGCTGCTCATGGAGCATGTAAGTATTTTTGTTGCTTTATTGGCTTTGAATGGTTAAATACACATATTAATGAAAATGCCCGACTTTGCAAGTATCCTCGTAAACACAGTCATTTAAGTCTTAAGAAGAGAGAAGTGAGAGAAAATCTCTCACCGCTCTTGACTAAATCACTTTTGTAACTTTAATAATAAGAAATTTAATTTACACAGTGAAAGCTATGCAGTGTTTTTGATTAATTTATATACAATGTGTGTAGTATTTATTGTAGTTATTTTGTCCTGTTGCTTGTAATTAGTTACTTATCTTCAGTGAGCTTGAGTTAGGGGTGTGAACTCACCTAGTTTGACTTCCGCATTTTCCGTGAGCAAAACGTTCTGACCTTTGATATCACGATGAATGACCTTATGTTGATGCAAGTGGGTCAGACCCTATCAAAACCAGATGAAGAAGTTCAACTCAACTGGAGACGGTCAAATGAGGAAACACTCTTCAAAAATAACACTTCTGGAAGCTAATAATGTCTTCTAGTTGCCCACACTACACACATACTCACCCTGAGGATCTCTCTGCAGATGTAGGCCGTCCACTCCTCCTTCAGAGAGTTTCCTTTGGTGTTCTTTATCAGGTCTGTCACTGAACCAGCACCACAAAACTCCATCACCAGCTACAGACACAACACGTCAACAAAATTAGGATAAAACCCAAGAAGCCACATGAATGAGGAAAAATCTAATTTAGTGGAGATCTACATTGGTGCTGTCGCACAAACAGAATTTGTTGCATTATTTCCATTTAGAGGTCATGTGTGAACGGGACCCGATGTTGAAATGCTGGCTAATAATCAACTCTTTCTTATGCTCATCAGGGCTGCATTTATTTGATCAAAAATACAGAAAAAAAAATTATATTGTGAAATATTGAAGACAAAGCAGCATCATGTGACACTGAAGACTGGAGTAATGGCTGATGAAAATTCAGATTTGATCACAAGAATAAATTACATTTTAAAGTGCATTAAAATAGAAAACATGTTATTTTAAATTGCAATAATATTTCACAATATTCCTGTTTTTTCTGTATTTTTTAATCAAATAAATGCAGCCTTGATGAGCATAGTAAACTATTAAAAAAACATTCAAAATATTACTAAATATTACTGAATACAAATTTTTAAAGGGCTTTATATAAATATATATATTAAACCTAACCCTAACCCACTTTGAAGAAGTTGAAATGACAATATAGAAGGTTGCAATAAAAAGTATTAGTGGTTTAAAAAAAGGGAATTTCATAGTTGTTTCCAGAGAAAAGCCTCCATCTAATAATTCTTTGATTTGACTCAATAAAAATGCCTTGCAGTTTTTTTCCTATAGCCCAACCTTTGCCTTAACATAGTTATAGTAAGGAGCAGTGACATGCAAACTTCCAAACCAGTTGTGTTTTTACTTCTTTGGCTTTACCTTTTCTCCCAAGACACTCATAATTAGAGCTCTATTTTCATGAATGGCCCCAGGGGCACAATAAAAGTCAATAAATGTAATTTATGAGCATAATATGATGTTTTTTCTGAAACACTGATTGGTTTTGAATGCTCTCTTGAGCTGGCCCTCAGATGGGTCAAAATATGTTTGGCCTCTGGGACTTTCCAAAGTCACGACTGCTGAGTTGGCAACATTGTTTTTCCTCTAAGGAAAATCCTTCTTACAAAGACGCCCAATGGAGGGTGGTTGTGCTGACCACATGCTCCAGTGCTAGTAAATGTCTTCAGCATGTCACTTATCTTTCTGTTGCTGGGCAAAGAAAGTGACAAAGCTCACCACAGAGGAAATGAGGCTGGCAGTTTGCGTTTAATGCATAGACATAAAAACAACAAGGCCTAGGCACCTCTGTGCAAAGTGTGAACATTGCGTTTCTGAGTGACAAATCGGCAGCTGTTGGAAAGTGTTACCTTACCAGTGTTGAAAAAACTATTTTTGAGGCTGTAGCTTCTTATGTTTAAGCGTATTCCTGGTATTACTGTGTATTAGTGTCTTATTCCAAAGAAAAAATTGATTGTCTTCATAATCTTGAACTTTTCTGATTATGTCACTTAGGCTCCACAGGTTAGATTTGTCACACCTAAATATTTTTCCTCATTAAATATAAGAAAGACCTTGAATAATTAAAGTAAAACAGTCAGCAAATTATTAAATAGTTACACTATAGTCAAACTTTAGTTTTATGTGGCTGCAAATCTGCATTTGAGACATAACCATAGACTGTATAAAAACATGGACATAGTGTCCGTGATGTCACCCGTAGGTTTCTGAAGAGCGTTGTTGAAGCTCAAAGTGGGCGGCACGGGCTGTCGCCATCTTGGGAATCAAAAATGGGCAACGAGGCGGGAGCTGGTTGCTGAAACCACGCCCACCTAGCTCTCCCTTTTGGAGCCAGTCTCTAGTGGCCGTCGATGAATTGCAGTTTTAGTCACTTTCGTGTTGGTTTCACGAGAGAGACCGGAAGGTGGCCGCTTGGATATAACATGACAAAAACCAATAATATATAGTATGTAACAATATGAAAACAGCTAAACTACTAGCAAGCTACTCAAAAAGTTAGAAACATCACTACTTTTAGCTCCCTAACACTGTATTGTATTACACACATTAATAATGAAACATTTACACACTAAAATACCCTGAATCTTTCTGCCTACAACTAATTTAGACTGACCCAGAGCTGGTCATCCATGCCAGGTGGATTCTTCTTGATGAAGGCACCATAGTAGGTGGCGATGTTTCGATGGTGGGAGTATTTTTTTAGCATGTTGATCTCAGCTTTGATCTCCTCCTCCTCATCCTGTCAAATAAAACAGACAACACTTGAGACAGAGCAGGAAAATACCACGTTTCTTTGTCTGTGAGTGAGTCATTGTCAGGTAACTATTCTACAGTGTGATTTACTACTGTACATAATTAACCATATAAATATTTAATTTATTATACTTAGTCATTCATATCACTGTTATATCACTGTTTGCCACTAGCAACAACAAAATTTGGAGTAAAATTGTTTTCAAACAGGTTTCCTTAAACACTCCATCCATCTGTTATTGGTCACCCAAACAGATGCCCCGCCCTAAACTAATGCCACTGGTTGAGACTGTTGCTATGTCAGGCTGATTAGAACAAGCAAAAACAAAGCAATGGTTTGACAGTCCCAGTGAAAAAGTACCAACCTATAAAATGGCATGAATATAACTTTTCATTTTTCTAATGATAAAAGTATTTATTTTATTTATATTATACTTCTTATATTTATAACAGTTTTTATATAAACATAAAACAAATAAAAGTCTCACAAAATGTATACAAAAATATACTATACACAAAAAAAGAAAAAAAAGAAAAAAGAAAAAAACAAAAAACAAGAGACCCCCCACGAACAGGCACCAGATACAATGAAAAATATACACCTTAAACAAAGACATACGTAATCAAACATAAACAAAACATTAAAGATGGAGTGAAGGAATAATGATAAAAGTATTTTAACACAAAATCAAAATACCAGGCATTTTTGTCACTTTTACATTTAAATGGGTAATACTGAATTTCTTTAAGTAAATAAAAAATTAAGGTCACACTTTATTTTAAGGTCCAATTCTCACTATTAATAAATCATTAACTATGACTTTTGCTTCAGTAAACAGTAAAGGGAGTTGTTAAGCTAGGTATTGGGTAGGATTAGGGATGTAGAATATGGTCATGTAGAATATGTGCTGTATAAGTACTAATAAGCAGCCAATAAGTTATTAAAAGGGATGCTAATAAGCAATTAGTTAATAGTGAGAATTGATCTCTATACTAAAGTGTTACCAAAATTAAATTAATATTAATTTTAATATACACTATCGTACAAAAATTAGGGGTCAGTAAGATTTTTTTTAACAAAAATAATATTTTTATTCAGCAAGGATGGAAAAGTGACCTTAAAGGCACTATTTCCTATAAATTATGTTATAATTTAAAAATGATGTTTCTATACATCAAACAAACCTGAAAAAAATGTAAATTATGTTTCCTTGAAAAACTACATATTATCAACTACATTGATAATAACAAGAAAAGTTTCTTAATCTCCAGATCAGCATATTAGAATAAATAAAGTTTTATAATATATTATAGAAAATAAAAAACTCTTATTTTAAATTTTTATAATATTTTACATCACTAATAATATTACTAATACTAACAATTTCTAATGTGTTTAAACAAATAAATGCAGACTTAATGAGCATTTGAGACTTTCAAATTTATTTATAAAAATCTTAATGTCCCCATGATTTTTGAAAATTAGTGTATTAATATCATTAATATGTTCATATTTTTTCTATTAATAACATTAATAAAATATTTTAAAAGTTAACTTTTTCCAATATTTAGCTTTTAATGAAATAAAAAAATATATATTCATAATTAAAATATTCCAAAATGCTTGATGCATTGTCCAGGAATCAGCCATGGAAAATCACAACAAAAGTTAACTAATAATCTGAATATTGAGGGAGTGATATGTGTCCTAGGCTAGTAGTGGCCCTTCAAAGTCTATGGCGGTTATAGCCCTGGTACTTTGTTTCATCCATCCATCCATCTTCCATACCGCTTTATCCTCTGCAGTAGGGATGGGAAGATTCCCCCATTCGCTCGGTGCATCGGCATAAAAAGGTAACGATGCGATGCATCGGTTTAAAAAGTGTGCATCGGATACAAGTTGGCATTTGTATCGCGATGCATCGTTTCTAACATATATATTTTTATCAGTAAATAAATATTTGCATCAGTACAAACCGATTTATCTGTGACCAATATTTTATGTGTAGATTGATTTCTCCTCTCTAAACTGTTTCTCAAGCGCGTTCTCTCATGCACCACTTCTGCTTCGTGAATATGTCGAATCACAATACCACGGAGACCCAAGGAAAAGCGGGGATTAAAGTCCAAAACCTGACCTCAAATAACCTAACAAATCAATCTGGGCTAAAGCGGTTCCATAAACGACAAATCAAGTTCACACAATCTCGCTAGTTTATGCACGTTAAGCAGCTCTTAATGTCGATCATGGATCAAATCGGTCCACCTTGGCAAACAGTGAATAGCTGTTTAATGCATTTGAGACGTTGTGTTTTCCTCAGTGCTACTTAGGACCATGTGATATTTCAGTTTTTCTTTTTTAATAAATCTGCAAAAATGTCAACGATTCTGTGTTTTTCTGTCAATATGGGGTGCTGTGTGTACATTAATGAGGAAAAAAAATTAACTTAAATGATTTTAGCAAATGGCTGCAATATAACAAAGAGTGAAAAATTTAAGGGGGTCTGAATACTTTCCGTACCCACTGTATATTCTTCATCTGTAAATGTTAGAAATTCACGCAAACATATCCATTTTGCTGTCAGGAGTGGGCGAGGCTGACGCGAGTGAACGAGCGCTGCTGCGGGCATGCGCACTAAACAGACTGAGCACAATCGAATAGGAGCGCAATAATATACATTTTGCTAAAATATTTGTTGTTGGACATTAAATGTGTCTTTTGTAGAATTTTAAACCTATATGTAATTGTATTTTTATGATAGCAGTAACTGTAAAGGGACTATTGTAATGGGTAAATCAAATGTAAGCTAGCACAGTCCTAATTACTTAGCTCAGATGAGTTCATGTGTGTTTCTTATACCAGTAAAAATAGTCATTTCCTTTATTATTTATTTTCATTTTTAATTCAGTGATTTTTAACTTTTAATTTAGTTATTTTAATGCTTTAAAGAGCAATTTTAGATTGTAATGTTCTGCTATCTGTTCTGCAAACTATAAAAGGTACAGCTGTCATAAAACCAGAGCGAAAGGCTGCAAAAACTAAGTCAAATAATAGTATGTGAGAGAGTCAGTGGTAGTATCAGTACGTTCCTATTGGTCAGTGTTAGAGGAACTCAGCTTAGTCTGACAGTTGACCTGCTTTAGTTTCCCAGCATAAGTTGCCACAGTGACTAGCTTGATAGGCCTATGTTAAATTTGCTTTATGGAACCAAATCATTTGACAATTGTCAGACCAACTGAAATAAGCCTTATGAAACAGGCCTTGAGGCATTAGAAGTGATCATATTTTTTCCATTGCATAGAATCACATTGTGTTGAATCGAATCAGATCGCACTGCATCGTAACAGGGGTGAATCGTATCGCATCGCATCGGTAGCTGCTTCATATGTATCTTTAATGTATCGTATCGTTGGCTATGCATCGAGATGCATATCGTATCGGCCTGAGTCATGAGATGCACATCCCTACTCTGCAGGATCATGGGAGGAATGGAGCCTATTCCAGCGTTTTGGTCCACAGTTGGGGGACACCCTGAACGGATGGCCAGTCTATCACAGGGCTCACACACAAACACACACACACACACCTATGGGCAATGTATAGTAGGTGAAGCATGATCCATTCATGTTTGTGTTTAAATGACATCATGCAACAAGTGAAGAGTGAAAGTGTAAAAGTAAAACCGACACTGAGAGAAACAAGAAACTGAGGTGGCTACTTGCGCTCTTACCCCTGTGACATCCATGACCTTGATTGCAGCGAGCTGGCCGGTCTTAACATGACGTCCCTGTAGAGAGAAAGATAAGAGAGAGGACACACGAGTGTCATACAAACATCATACTGGCATTATTGAACATGTGGTGATGAGATCTATCTGTGGCAGAAGAATAGGTGTATGTAAGCCTCTGGCACGTGGCATAATTACGTAACAGTTTAGAAAAAAAAAAAAAACACACACGCTTCCTAGAATGATTGAAAAAGACCCAAAAACCTGTGTGAATGATCTCGGGCTCTTGGCTGTACCATTTCGTGTTTGTGAATGTGTGTGTGTTACAATGCCACCAGATGACAACTCTGGTTGCATAACGCTTTTGGAGATTCGTCCAGTCCAAACAAAGGAATGTGGAAATGGAAATCACTGTCCCAGGTCTTCCCCAGTTCCCTCATGTTTACCTGTTAAGTTCCTCACTTCCCCCAAGCTCAATTTTATTTCATAACCAGAAACGAGAAAAACAGACACTGAGGACGCAGATCATCTGCGCGCTCAGCAGGTCCCGTGTTTTGGGACAATAGCGGGAGATACGGCAGCAGATCTGAGCAGAAGTGCATTCATCTGAACGGCAGAATCACCCAGTGTGTGCTCTTCAGAATGAATTATGCACACTTCATCTCCTCACCCAACACACTCCCACCGCTTTGATTCTGAGCAGAGGAGATGCTTCGGCGAGAGGAGGGGAAGAGCGAAAAAAGGGGGGAAAAAAGAGGAGGACATGAGGATAGAGCGTCATACAAGTCCCACCAGTGCTCATTAACAACTTCAACCGCTACTGCAAAGTATTAACGAGCGGAGAAACCCAGACAAACCACAGGGCTATATGAGAAAATCACTGAGTAGGGAACTTTTAACATATTTTAATAAACACAGAGACACGTAGGAACCATGGCGTGACGTGCACTGAGTTCAAATAGGGCTCACATCATTTCTTGATGCCATTTTGAGCATCCAATAACTAATCTGTAATAACTAATTTTTACTAGTGGTCAACCAATTATATATCGACCAAAATACCAATATTTGTCTTTTATTATTGGCATCATCTGATGAAGTGTTGGAAGCGAGACTTTAGTATTAATGTTTATTTTATTTTTTCAAGTTCAAATTTTTTTCCTCATTTAGTAAATATTAGGTCAAATAAATATACATTTATTGCAGCATGTTTTATTTCCTATCTTTAAGTATCATTTACATCTACTTTATATATCAGCCATCCTGCTCAAAGACAAAGGTTCCTAAACCTTTTTTGTCAGCTAAACCCTTTGGACGGAAAATATTTACTTAAAGTAACCCAAGATTTTATGTTAATATTTCAATAATTTAAGTAAAATGAAATGCTGTAAAGTTCTGTCCACAAAAATGAAGGAAATTATGCAAACGTGAAAGTTAAGTTGTGTTTCCAAATACATGTTAAGCGATGGAGCCTCTCTGAAAACAAGGCATTACAAGCTGTACACGTGAATTTCAGTTTTATTTTGACTAATTATGCATCCCAATTGTTTATTTTAATGTTACATTCTATTTAGTTTAGCGCAACTCACAAACACCCTGCAGTTCCCTCATAAATCTTGTTTGGGACACCAGAGATACTGACATCGGCCATTAAAAAAAAAAGCACATTAATTGTTATATCATTTTTAAGTGTTCCTTCCCATGCTGTGTTTTAGGTGATTGCTATGCAGTTTCTAAAGTGGTCTGAGTGGATTTCCTAGGTTGTTCTGAGTGGTTGCTTTCGATATGGCTTGGTAGTTTTGAAGCTTTTGAACTGGAAAACATGCTGACTAGACAAAAATGTTGGCTTATTTGAAGACATCTGTGACAGAAGAACACATGAGCCAATCATTATAATAATACATCTGACTAATCGTAATAAATTATGCTGGCATATTAATGAATCAGATGTGTGGACGTGGTGAATGGGTGCATGTGTGATGGATTTGCGCCCTACAGCTCCACGTCTCTCCTGATGAGGAGATTCACAGGGCCGACTGCTAACTGGAAAAACCATCTGCCATCTTGACAGAGATTAACTGAAAATTTCTGGAGCGTTGACGTGTAAGATAAGACTGTCCTCAATTGCCATAAGCCATGAAAAAAGCAGCAAATGTGCCGACTGTGCAGTATTAATGATAAATATAACTGTGCTTAGAATGGAATATTAACATACTGCACGTATATGCCGTACATTGAGCAATATTTTTAGAAACAATATGCAAAACGGTCAGCAAAATGCAACAGAAAGTGTTTCAAACTGTCGTCACATGACCTCATTACATTTCATGATAAACTTAGCTGTATTTATCAAAATAACCGTATTTATTTTTAAAATAACTGCAATTTTGCATTTTAGTAAGCAAGTACATGTTATTTATATGACACATTTAAACACAGCGAAGCTGACCAAATTTTTATGTAAAAATGTCTTAAATTGACGGTCTAGTCAAGAAAATTTTACTTAAGTAGGTAGGTAGTTGAGATTTTAATGCCATGTCAGCAGCTGATACTATTCTCATGGCAAGAGTTTTCTAACAATTGTACAGTTTAATGCATTGGTCTCAAACTCAATCCCTGGAGGGCCACAGCTCTGCACAGTTTAGCTCCAACCCTAATCAAACACACCTGATCCAGATAATCAAGGTCTTCAGGATTACTAGAAACTTCCAAGCAGGTGTGATTTGGAGCTGGTTGGAGCTAAACTCTGCAGAGCAGTGGCCCTCCAGGAATTGAGTTTGAGACCTCTGGTTTAATGAAATGGAAATGGAAAGAAAAGAAATGGAAAAGGAAAGCAAATTGGAAAAGAAAAGAAATGGAAAAGAAAAGAAAAAAGAAATAATTGAAATGGAAATGGAAAGAAAAGAAATGGAAAAGGAAAGGAAATTGGAAAAGAAAAGAAATGGAAAAGAAAAGAAAAGAAAAAAGAAATAATTGAAATGGAAATGGAAAAGAAAAGGAAAACAAAGAAAATGGAAATGGAAATGAAAATGAAAATGAAAAGAAAAGGAAATGGAAAAGAAATGGAATGGAAAAGAAAAGAAAAGGAAAAGTAAATATGTATATGATAAACAAAGTTTACTGTGCTGTATATTGCACAGTTGCAATAGGAAAACTTGGTGTTTCACACAAGTTCTACACAATATGCTTATATATCACACAATATGCTTACTGTACTTAGCATGGTACGCATAAACTATAATGCAAAAATAGTAAATATGGTTGTGAACAAAACTACATAACACAATTTCAACAAAGTCATAGGATGCTTTATGCTTATAAAAAATTATAATAAAAAGATTGGCTTTTCCAGAGTCGTCAGCAGATTTTTTTGTAGCCTATGTGTGAATGAATGCTTTTAGAATCCAAACAGATAAGCACACTATGCGGTCACAGAACCCTTCTAATCTAGACTGGCAGCTGAAATGCATACTGAGGTCTGTTCCCATTATATCTGAAATGACTGTAAATGGCTATCGGAGAGCTTGCAGTAGTAATGCATTGTAACCGTAGCTGCAAAATGCTGTGAGGAAGACATTGCTGTGCGGTTTCATCATCATGGCTGCTATTGGCTATACTCAACACTCCAGTTGTGAGAACTAAGACGGTATCTGTATGTTTGTACCGCTTAACTGTAGATACAGAGTGCCAGTGCGAAAAAAAAAAAAGCACAACGCACCACTTCCTCTCTGTAGCCTAGCAACAGGCCTGGAAGGCAGAGGAGGTTTGTGATTTTCACACTCTTCTACAGACAGCTCCTCTTGTTCCCGAGACATGTGACCTAGTGTGACCCTCTCAGCTCAGTCTCTGAGAGAGCTTTGGAGGGGCCAGAATCTCTTCACTCATCTTCCATTCAGAGAACAGCCTTCCAAAGACCACATGCCCTGCAGTCACTTATGGAATGCAGGAAGTTGGTGTTTTATTTAGAGCCTCATTATGGAAGTTTCCTTATTTAACCGTAAGCTCTGTGTTTATCTAATAATGTATGGGTGAGAAGAACATGCAAAGCCTTCACTCATAATGTGGACCTAGATTTCTAGGTGCTTTGCTGGAAAACATTTGGTGCTACAATGCTAGGGTGTTGTGGGTGGTTGCCAGGGAGTTGGTATGTGGTTGGTAAGGTGTTTTGAGTTAGAGATATGCAAACTGACATACTTCCAAAATGAAATCTGTGGGTTGCCTGAACGACTGAGGATCACCTGTGTTATTTTAGTGTCATTTATAGTTTTAGTACTTCTGTTGTGTTTTTGTCATTTAGTCATTGTTTTGTCTGTAGTGTTTATAAATTATGTATTTATTTGTTTTAGTTTATTTAGTTTTGGTTATTAAGCAAGTTAAACTAAATGAAAATGTCTTGGCATCTAGCTGAAATAAAAGTGATATACATTTTTTTGGTAACACTTTATGTAAGCCTTTATGTATAATGCATTATAAAGGGTTATAAAAGGGTAAAAAAATTTATTTAAAATGCATAGCGTAACAATGAATTTATAAGTGTTATAATGTATTAACTGTGGTTACAATTAGGTTACACTTTAAGAATTATAAGGTGCATTACATCTCAGTTTCTGTCCGGCGCGGGTGAAATCATTATAATGCTGAAGGTGAGGTACTCACCTTCATATTTCTTCATTAAATAACTTATAAAGTAATTTGAAAACCTTGTGTGAGACGTAATTTCACAAACAGCGTGAGTGAATCACCGCGCGCGCTCTCTCTTTCTCTCTCAAAATACGCAAATGGCTTCAAATCACCACACATCGCGTCTGTCTATAAGCGAGCTGCACGCTGCACAGTTGACACAGGAATTGTCACTTGCACAGTCGAGGCAGTGTCACATCGCCACTAAAGTTTATAAATTGCATTTCTTTTTTATTCTTGCCAGTGTCTAACCATTCAGCGCTCGAGCGCTCTCCTAGAGACCATACGCTCATGCACACTCGCAGCACACGCATAATGCCAGGTTCACATTACTCCGTTTGCAGTGCATACGTGGTTCGTATATTTTCCACGCTCATGTT